TGGATATTTTAGAATTTTTAGCAATTTGCATGAAAAGCCAAAAACTCGTTAATTTAAAATTGAATGTTTACTTAAAAACCGACAGTATTAGTTAAAAAAAACCATAAATAGATTAACAAAATCATCCAAACTTATTTATTTTCGAAGTTAACGCTTGTATCAATTTTCTTCGAAATTATATAAGTGTTTCTGATTTACTTAGTCTATTTATGGGTATTTTTAATTAAAGCTGTCGGTTTTTAAGAAAACATTCAATTTTAAATTAACGTGTTTTTGGCTTTTCATCAAATTGCTAAAAATTCTAAAATATGCATGTCACCAATAAAAAAACTCGACGTGCTAGAAAGAACCAAAGATGTATTTTAACTTAGCATACCCAGATATTAATAAAATAACATAAGAGCTGGGGAAAAAATTGAAATTTCGCAATTTAGATTAAGGTTATTATTAATTTATTTATTGTTGTAGTGTCTTTTTACTATTTTACTGTTTTTTAAATGAATTGTAGTTTAATGAATGTGGTTTTCCGTATTTGTTTTTTAGTGATAAGTGTTTGTTCCTTAAGTATACGGTAATTTTTTTTTAAGTAATCGCTATGTTTTTCATCTATAAATATGTTATTTTTCATTTAAAAACCTGGCTTATATTTTGATAAATACTACACAAATCCAAGCTTCACACTGTGTACGTAATTTAGAAGTATTTGGCAAAGTTTCATCAAAATTGCAAGCTTTTAAATAAGAGTTTATCTAAATTTAGAAATTCTTATTAAAAACTTTGTAATTTTCATTAAACTTTGGAAAATACTTCTTAACTATGTATTCAGTTTAAAACTTGGATTTGTATGGTGTTAAAATATAAGCCATGCTTTAAACCCAAATAAAAAAACATTTATGGCATGAAAAACATTGCGAATATTTACAAGGAATCACCATTTTGATAAATGAATTATTTAATTTTTATTTATTGAAAGCTTAGCTTTATTATTACTTTATTTAATTTTTCTGATGTTATTGTACTGAGTTATTGTTGTTTTCGGAATAAATGAAATGAAATGAAAACATGAAATTAGATTTTGTGTGTACCTGACTTATTTAATAAAAAGTTAATTTTATATTTTTAATTATAATATATAATTTATTATATCAAAAAAGAATTAATTTCTAAGGCTAAATAGTATGATTTTGTTTCATTAGTTTTCTTACAGGCTACTGAAATTTTCTAGTGAAACTTAAATATGTACTTATAGTTGAATATAATTTGGATGTGTCAGATTAGCACTTTTTTACTTGTAAATAAACTGGCAAAATGAAATATTGCATTATATACATAATGCCAAATTTTAGGTTGTGTCACTTTTGAAAAGAGTGTGCGATATGTACATATTTGTTACTTATTAAATAAGTGTCAGGGTGGCGGTAATGTTACGGCATAATCCTTCTTGGTTATCAAACCGGTTCTTTAATTGACGCACTGCGCATTTGCTAGCCGTGTACCAGTGTCAGCCTTACCCTGCGCCCATTAGCCAGTTTCTGCGGGTTTCTAAAAATATGCAAGAATAAAAACAAATGAATATATTTTCCATACCTTTGGAAAAAATATTAGGGCTGTTCAGAATATTGTCTAAATGGTGTTGGATTTGCAGTTGGAATTTCATTTGCAAATTTTATGATTGCTGCCATGGCAATCGTGTCAATTTTATTGTTGCGAATTTACAAATGCAACGGATATGCAAATGTAAGAGCCTATGCACAAAATCCTGAACAGCCCTATTGTTTTTCAATTACCCAAATTAATATTATCCGGTTCACGTTTGAGAAATTGTCGGATTGTATACCTATTTAAAAAAAAAACAAGCATTAACAAATATACATTCCAAATCTTAAACATTTCTTCTATGCATTACCCTACACACGCCCAACAGCGGCAGCCTCTGCGTCTTCGTGCATTGCCTTTGCGCTGTGTTGACTACTCCGCTTTAATATGCATGATTAAGGTAATGTTTAATATGTCAATCCAGCTGACACCCATCAACGCGAAGGGGCATGCACTTTAATTCAAGGGTGCTCTCTCGCTTAAGCTTGTATTGCGCGACTGGTGTATCAATGTATTGCCCATGGTGTTCATTTACACTCCGATGGGGCTCAGGCACACCAGCGAGTATTATACCAACAGAATTGATGTAGTAGTGTTTCTCTTTTGGTAAGTAAATAACCCTTCACAATACCATCCACCACATTACTTGCTACGATTGAGGGCGCGATTGGCAAACTGAGTAGCTGAACGCATGTAACATACAGTGCATGTGCAGGCGCATTGGGGAATTCATTGAAGAAACAGGCGGTGCTGAGAGTGCGCGTGCGCTAATGCCCTCCAAGATTCTATAAAACATGTTTGTTTAAATATTTTAATTGAATACAAAAAACGAGTACGTACTTACATACATATATGCCACTGTATAGGTAGTTTTGAGGTTTGAAAACAGCGGACAGCAATTCCTAAAAGAGTTAATGAAAATAAACCAATTATAAAAAAAGGGGTTGTTTTAGGGCTGTGCGATTATTCGATTACTCGAGCAAGTTGGTTAATCAGTTGTTCGGTTAATCAATTACTCCAGTAATCAATATTTTGATTAGATAGATAATGATCAGGGAACGGATTTTATGGAAATTGCCTTTTTTTTCTGCTAAAGAGATAGAGTATATTCGATTAAGAATGTCCACGATTTAGCTTTCGCTGATTCCATATATATACACTTGATGTTGCCTTTTTTTGTCTTTTTTAAGATATTTGCCTTTTTTTGCCTTTTTTAAGATGTTTGCCTTTTTTTGCCTTTTCTACCTTTAAAAAAGTGACTATAGCATTTACAATTTTTTTTTTTAAGATTAAAAAATATACTCATGCCCATGCGGCTTATAGAAGCGCAGGGACCTCTTGCCAAATTGGTGTTGAAAAAATTCAAAGCCGTTTTCTCAGCAAACGTAGGCTTGGATACAATAAGGGGTGTGGATAAAATTGTAAAGGGCAAAGAAAACGCCCTTATTCCTGGTAATATGAACGTTTCAAACGTTCCATATTTAAATTGGGCTCCACTTGTATCA